CACCCCCCCCCCCCCCCCCCCAGAAGAAACTCTTCTTCAGCCCCCCCTAGAACATAAGCTCCGGGAGGGCAGGGGCAGGGGTGGGGCCATTCAGTGCCAGATGCTCAGCCCTGGCACATCTGGGCCATGGCTGGTGCTCAATAAAGATGCTGGGCAAACCCCATCTTACAGGCAAGGGAACCAGGAGGCACCGAGAGGCTGAGACAGTTGACAGTTGCCCGAGTCACAGACAGTGGGTAGCGGCATGGGAATGGGACCCCAGGCAGGTTAACTCCAGAGCCTGAGCTCTCGCCCCTTTGCTATGTACACTGCCCCACACCAAAAGGACCACCTTGGGCATTGGAGCCACCTCTGTATTCCCTTGGGATGGACTTGGTGGGGGGGATGGCGATCCCAGGATAGATCTGCAAGTCTATCCTGCCCTCAACCCACACTCCATGCCCTTGGCCCCACAGTACTTGGCAACACTAGGTATCATGTAAAACCTCAATCATTAATTTAACATCCAAAACGACCACCTCACTGTTTCTGCTATTTGCATCTTTTTCTCATTTTTTAACAAGAGGTGAGAGTGAACATTTTTCCATGTTTGTTTAATAGGTCTATTTCCTTCTTGTGAACAGCCTGCTCATGTTCCTGGTCCTCTACCTCCCGGAGCTCAAGTATTTTTTCCTATTGATTTGTGAAATTCCTTACATGGTAGAGATATTCACTCTCTGACAGATTTGCTGAGAATTTCTCTTCCCTGTTTGGAGTATTTCCTTTTGTTTTGGTTACATGCATGTGTGTTTAATGACATCCATTCTCATTTTTCTTACATAAAAATAATACTCACTGTAGGAAATTCCAAAAACACAGGAGAGCATTTAGAAAAATGCCAGAAACACCCATAATTCCACTACCCAGTATCCAGTACAGTCTCAGTCTTCTTTATCTGGGGGTTGGTACTCTAACTGCCATTTTACAGATGAGGAAACTGAGGCTCATAGGAGGTACCTGACCTGCCTGGAGGGTGTAGGTGAGGTCTGTGTGCTGACACTGGGATTTGAAGCCTCCCGAGGAAACCATGCTCTGTGCCTGGCAGACATATGCTCCTTGGCACAGGCACTGAAAGGCCAGTCACAACACATGCGGGGGCACAGGGGCAGGACAGACTGGTCCTGTGAACAGGAGTCAGCTACTTGTAGCATCTCATCCAAACTCAGCAGCACAGAGATGGAAAAGCCAGAAAGCTGAGTGACACTTCAACATGCCAACCAACAGGAAGCTGAAAGAAACAAGCTACTGCTGGCTGCAGCTCTTGGGCTGCTCCACTCCTCAAATCAATGGAGATGCTATTTTCAGCCAGAGAGGCTGTCTGCCATGAGGCCTCACACAGGGGAGAGCCGCCTCAATACTTCTAGAAAAGCAGGGCTGTTGGACTGTTAGTGCAGTCGGGACAATCTCACCCAGATACCTTTGTGCTGGGCTGCTCCTGGGCCGCACCTTGGGCAGGCCTTTTTCCAGAGAGGTGTGTCTGGAGGATAGCAGCGACTTTAATGAGGATGTCCCCAAGGATGGCCGCCCCCATCAGCAGGCCCAGGTCACACACCCTCAGGGCTGCAGCCAGGGTGGTGGGATCTCCAGGTGCCTTGCACAGACAGACGGCTTTTAGCAGGCAGCCAAAGGCGTAGACCCGTCGCCAGTCTTTGTCCACGTCCCGCCATGTCCCCGTGTTGAGCTTCTCCCAAGAGTAGTCCAGGATCATCTCGCTTGTCTGCAGACACTCATCCCTCCTGCCCTCATAGAAGAGCTCGGTGGCTTGCTGCAGCAACGTCACTACGCTCCTCTCTATGCTGTCGCTGAGGTCCAACTTCAGTTCTTCTTTACTGTGTGGCAGGAGTGCACTGAGGGTCTCCCAGAGAGCACCTGCTTCCGCAGGGGGGTCTCCAAGACAGCTGGTGCCTTCTGCCATCTGGCCCGCCACCAGCTCAGTCACTCAAGTGCCTGGGGGTAGGGGGGACAAGAGTTAGAGACCATGCAGATCCTTTGTGTCCTCCCACAGCTTCCCACATCTTATCTGTAACAGTGAGTTTTCAACAACAGTCTCTGCTAGGCACAAGCTCTGCGAGGGCAGGGGCCCCCACATCTGGGGTCACTGCTATATCTTCAGGGCCTGGCATAACACCTGGCACTCAGTGAGCACTGGATAAATGCTTGTTCAGAGAGGAATGTGGGTTGCCCTTGTCTGGAATGCCTCCAACAGCCTTCCTCTGCCTGGCAAACTCCTATTCAACCTTTAAGGCCCATCTTAAATGATCCCCTATGTAAAGCCTGCCAAGACTCTCTGACAGTGTTTTGTGTCCCCACAGCCCTCGAGCTTCTCTTAGAGCACTTGTCGCGTGTACTACAAATACCTGCTTACATGTGTCTCTCCAACGCTAGACTGTGAGCTCCTCCAGGGCAAGAACATGGCTCATTTCTCTACATTTCTCTAGATCCTAAAAGCAGAGTCTGGCTCATAGAAGGTACTCAATAAAGGTATTGAAGGAAAGACATTTTAACTTCTCAGGAAGAAACTTGGAAGTGCATAAAACCTATACAGAAAGGAAAAACATCACAGTTGGTGCTTTTGGTGGCATCAGCCTGGGCATCGTTTATGGATGGCAGCCTGTCATTAGGATAAGTACTAATATATGAATAAGCTCCACTGCTCACAAACAATTACAGTTCTCTATTTGTGCTGCTATGTTCTAGGTATTATCCTAACAGTTGTTCCATCCCCTATCTTATTTGACACAAAGAGATAGAGACCATCGTGCTTTTTGCAGATAATGCTCTATGCTAGGGGCCAGCAAACTTTTTCTGTAAAGGTCAGATATCAAATATTTTAGGCTTTGCAGATATCAAATATTTTAGGCATACAGTCACTGTTGCTACTACTTTGCCATTGTAGCATGAAAGCAGCCATGTACCATATGTAAACAAATGGGGGTGGCTGTGTTCCAATAAAACTTTATTTACAAAAGCAGATGGTGGGCCAGATGTAGTTTGCCAACCCCTGCTCTATGCTTTCTAAAATCCTTTGTCTTCTTTCTGGACACACAGTTAGACTGCATTTCCCAGTCTCACTTGCAATCAGATGTGATCACGCTGAGTTCCAGCTAATGTGAATGGCCATGATGTAGGCCACTTCCAGGCTGGCCCAGAAACACTTCCTACATGGTCCTCCACACACTTTCCCTACCCACTGGCTGCAAGTGAAGAACTCTGAGGCTCTAGGGGAGGAGAGCCACAGATGGAAGGAAACTTCTCCTCATTGGAGAAGAGCTGCCATCCAACGAGGAATATCCATGCTGAAATGCTTCATGGGCAAAAAATAAACTTGTATTGTGTATAGCCACTAAAATGTCAATGATGCTTGTTACAACAGTTAGCCTGCCCTAAGACAGCAACTTCTGTCTATTATTATTATTTCTAATAATGGCTCCCCAAAGATGTCCATATCCTAATCCCCAGAGCCCATGAATATGTTACCTAATGTGGCAAAAGGAACTTTGCAGACGTGATTAAGAACAAGGCTTGAGATGGGAAGATTATCCTGGATTATCTGCATGGGCCCAATTTAACACGAGTCCTTAAAAGAATCTTTCCCAGCTAAAGTCAGAGTCAGAAGGACATGTGATTGTGGAAGGGTGGCCAGAGCTATGCAGCACTGCAAGCTGGCTTTGAAGACAGAGGAAGGCAGTCACAAGCCAAGGAATGCAGGTGGCCTCTAGAGGCCCAAAATGGCAAGGAAACAGATTCTCCCCTAGAGCCTCCAGAAGGGAATGCGGCATTGTAGAGACCTTGATTTTAGCCCAGCAAGACCCGTGTCCAACTTCTAACATACAACCTGTAAGACAATAAATTTGCAACATTTTAAGCCACCAAGTTTGTGGTACTTTGTTTCAGCAGCAGTAAAAGAATACAACCTGTTTTTAATCAACAGAATAGGGCAAAGGTGCTGGGATGCCACGTCTGTGATTAGATGACATGAGCTTATAACTTACATCTTGTTAGCAGAACTTCCACTGCCTTCGCAGGTGGCACATAAGTGGCAATGCTAGAGACACCACACGGCAAAGACTTGAGGGTGGCCTAGAGCCATCACATAAGCGAGGGCTGGGGCCCTCAGTCCAGCAGCCCTCCAGGAACTCAATTCTGCCAGCAACTACGGGAGTTAAGATCCTTGTCCAGCTGAGCCTTCCGATGAGCGCGTAGCCCTGATCAACACATGATTGCAGCCTGGCAAGAGATCATGATGCAGGGGACCTAGTTAAGCCACACCCACACTCCTGGTCCATGGAAACTGAGTTAATACATGTGTGTTGTCTTAAGCCATGAAATTTATGATGATTTGTTATGCAGCAGTAGATGTAATAAATACACCTATCCAGACTTACCGGACACTCTGGGACTCAGTAACTCATAAAAGAAGAGGAGAACACACAACTTCCATTAGCTCTAATGTGTATGGAGAGCAGATAGGGAGGTAAAGACATCTACAGGACGCTAGAGATATGGTCCCTGAAGGGGTCTAGACATCCCCATCTCTCTCCTTGGGCTGCACTTCAGTTTATTCCACCCCCAGCTCAGGAATAACAATAACAGCAGGCAGAGGACAGAGAGTATTTCATGGATTACCTCATTTGACCCCCACAGTGAGCCCACAAAGCAGTTGACATACTTATAAAACATTTACTACAAGCCAGGAATGCTCTTGGCACTTTATACACCGCTTTGTTCTTACAGTGAACCTAAGAAAGGATGATCGCCCCCGTTTTACAGATAAGGAACCTGAAGCAGGGAAGTAAACCAACTTGCCCAAAGCAATTCAGCTAGTAAAGTGGTGCAGCGGAGTTTACACTCAGGCAGTCTGGCTCCAAAATCCACGACCTCATGGATGAAGGATCTGGGCCACACAGTCATACACCAGCAAGTCATGAAGCTGGGCACCTGGGTTACTTGATTCTTGAGAAAACTCTGCGAGGAAGAAATTATTATCCCCATTCCACAGATGGGAAAACCCTATGACTTCACACTTTCTCACTTGTTATTGGTTTTGAAGTACCCCTTCCTGGGCCTGTCCTAAAATAACAGTAATACTTTAGAGTTGTTCTCAGTTCTCAGCCTAGATCATGGTTTCTGAACCAACGCTTCCCCTCAAATTTTACTTGTTCCTCACAGTACTGTGAGGTGGACAGGGCTTTGACCATTTCCCCTACAATTTTCCCACCCTCCCACTTTGCTGATGTGGAAACTGAGGCCATAAAAAAATGAAATGACTTGCCCAAAGCCCTATGATTAATCATTTGTGCAGAAACAGGGCTTAACTTCCGGTCAATCTTGGTTTCCTTTCCTACGTGCCATGCCAATGCCACATGCTTTCTGTACATCATCTAACAACTTTTGCAATCCTACGATGTGAGATTTTACAGATGAATAAAGCGAGATTTGAGCAGTTAAGCAGTTTGTCCAAAACAGTATGTGGCAGTGTCTACCCAGAATACTCATGAGCTTCAGAACTGAGCACTGCATTAGATTTTTGGACCTTTCTATCTGCAGGGCCTACTTCAGATCCTGGTTCACAGTAGATATCCTTCCCTGTCCACTCAGTGGGTGATGGGACTCGGAGAGCCCCAGTGGCCTGGCCCCAACATGCCAGGATGGTTTCTATCTCTAGCCTCCTAGAAGGTTCATAAATGTCTTGTCTCATTAACAGCCTTCTTAGAGAGTTTCACAGTCCAACCTTCCAGCATGATCTTATCCACTACTCTGTACAATACAGCACGTGGGACCCATCAGCTGGCCTCTCTGGTGGCCTCATGGCTCATCCCTCAAGTGTCTTACATAAGAGTCTCATAAAGCAACATCAAGAAGCCTCATCTTGCATATCCAAAAGACCTCACAGGCCTCATATCCTGGCTTCTCAGAAAGGCTATGAAAAGGCCTCCCAGGAGACCATTTATGTGCCTCACTATAAAAATGGCTTCCACTGGGGACTATGTACCAGCTCTGTAAACTGGTCTCTTAGTGGTATTATAAAATAGTCTTCCAGAGGGTTTCAAATGGGCTATTAACCAGTCCCCTGGGATGCAGATTATGGACTTTGTAAGCTGGCATCCCAGGGTGATCTTATGAAATGGCCCCTCCTGAGGCTCATGTAGCCCTTGCAAAGCAAGCTTTTCAAGGTGGTTTCATGTGCGCTTTGTAAACCGTCCTCCCAAGGTGACCTAATGTTTGGTCTCATAAATGGCCTCCTAAAGTGGCCTATGTGCTATTTGCACATTGGCCTTGGACAGGACCTCATGTTGAAGATTATGTGAGACAGCTTTCTGGGAAAGAGAGCCTCAGTACAAAACAGTCTCCTCTTGGCCACATAAAATAAGCCTTTTTTTTTTTTTAAAATGCAGAGTTTCTCAGTGAATGGCCTTATAAAAAGGCCTTCACAGATACTTATATCGACACTTCATGAGTCTTCCAGAGTGGGAGCTTCAGGACAGCCCTATGTGTCTCGGTTTTCAAAATGGCTTTTCAGATTGTCTCTGTATGAGCCACTTGACATGGCTCCCCAAAGCCCTCATGATTGATCTTGAACATGAGCTTCCTAGAGGGCCTTATGTTGGCAGCATGAAGAAACTTTCCATGGTGAAGTGGCGTGCTGGCCCTATCAGTCTTACAGCCTGGTTCCACAGGCTCCCCAGAACCTCTCGCGATTTGGCCTTTTAAACAGTTGCCATATCAAACAGCCTTCGGGAGAGATGCCATATGCTGGGATATAAAACCAAAGTGGATTAGTGACCCATTTTAAAAACTCGAATCCTTATTGACTGGGGCTCATCTGTGGGCAGGTGAAATCAGATGTCTTAGTTTTATGAACCAATCTTCCATGGTTTCTTTAGTGCCAGGGAAGGGTTGTATTTGTTTTATCAATTGACCTTCCAGGGAGCAACCTCCTGTTGGCTCCTGTTAGCTGTGTGAAATGGCCTTACAGGATTAAGCCTCAGTGTGGCTGCATGGAACAGTCTATCAAACAATCTTCCAGAGGAGCTGGCCTCATGTGGGATATAAGAAGCAGGCTTCACATAACCAACCATTTGAGATGAACTGCCAGTGAAGGTCAGCTTCAGGCTACATGAAATTGCCTTTCTGAAAGGCCTTAGGTCCAGGCTTTACACATCAGCCTTCCAGCATTCCCACGTACTGGTCTGATAAAAAGGCTTGATAGTTATATCAAGCAGTTTTCCAGAAGGGACCAGCCTGAGTAAGCCCTGTGGCCTGGCTTTATTGATTAGCTTCCTGGAACTCCTCACTGAATTGCCTTTTACAAAAGGTTGTATCAAACAAATAGCCTTCCAGAAGAGGGAATCAAGTGTAACACGTGTGGAAGTCTTCAGTGTGGTATCACAGACTGGCCTTTGAACTGGCCTCCCAGAGCTCACGTAAAAGGGTTTACTGTGAGTTGTATCAACAGCTTTCCAATGGTCAGGTATAGGTGGGTTAACTATATAATTGTTTATCCAAACCAGAATGCTATCAATATTTATACATAGACAAGTAAAAAACTAGGGTTATTCCAGGCAAACTGACACATATGGTCACCCACACAGAGTGAAAAAGCCTGAGTGGCTTTGTATCTTGTATTTTGACCTTACAAGTTGTTCTCCCAGAGCTCAACAGGTATTGGCCTTAAAAGACCTCTTGTTGCTAATAGATGGCTTTTTTTTTTTTTTGAAGGGGCAGAGGATGTTAGTTACAGAAAAAGCCTAAGTGGTCTTGTGTCCTGGCTTTGTAAACTGGCCTTCCAGAGTGCCTCATGTATTGGCCTCGTGACATGAGACAACTTTCAGAGGGAAGGTGAGGTAGGGGTTGCATAAGACTTTCCCACTTGGACTTAGTAGTTCAGCCCCTAAAAGCTCATTACATATAGGATTGTCTGATGGTGTATAAAACTTCTTGGAAAAGGAGTCAGATAAAGGTTGTATGAGGTGACCCGTCACAACGATTTTTGTCTTGGCTTTATCAATCAGCCAAAGATGAGCCTTAAAAGGCTTCTTGTTGGTCACATGAAACACAAAGGAACCAAGTATGGGCTGTATAAAGGAGCCCTAAAGGGATCAGGCCCCGATTTCATAAATTCACAAACCAGAGTTCATTATGCAATCTGGCCTTTGGTTGGCTGCTAGTTAAAAGCCCAAGTGGGTTCCTGATGGTTATACAACACAGCTTTCCAGGAAGCCACTGTGCAGCCATTCCAAAATTCTTAAACTCTTTCTAAAAATCAGCCCCTTTAAAGCACCTCCCAGAATAGTCTTCACGTGGTCTGGGTGAAATGTGCTCTTAGAAAACGTCGCCGTGATTCTTAGATGGTCTCAGGTTGGCCAGACGAAACAGTCACCCTGAGAGCGCCATGATGGTCATGAGAAAGCCTTCCAAAGGGGGCTTCCAGGACACACCAGCCTCTACCTGGTTTTCCGGGAACAGGCTGCCTGGACAGTAATTTGTTCAATATTATTGGTGCAGTATTCCTCCGAAACTGTGCAAAAACATGACCTTTGTAAAACTTTCCGTACAGCTTCATTCAGAGGCACGAGGGTACCTCTGGCTCTCTAAGGGCCAGATGGTTTCAGGTTTGGGTCTCGGGCTGTGAGTGTGGCCCCTTTCCCTCCCTGCGCCTTCCCCGGGGCTTCATTTCTCAAGGCTCATAATCAGGACTGATGGCTCAAACGTTTCCAATCACCCTAGTTGCAGGCCCACGACAAAGGCCAAGAGGCCGGTCCCCAAGCACACCACGGAAAACAGAATATCGCGCAAGCGCACTAGCGTTGCACCGACGCGACACCAAAAAACGCCCAGGCGGAAAACAGAATGGCTCCGAACCGAACTCACGCATGCGCAAAGCGATTGCCCTAGGAGAGCACTAGGCACGCGCGGAGCCTTTCCCCTATCTGGCAGAGAGGGGGAGCCGCACTAAACTGGGTTCTCAGGGCGCATGCGCCCTCTAGAGTCACGGGTGGGGGGGCTTTGCAAGGGCGCACGCGCGGAGCCGTTCTCTTGCTTCGCCCCTCAGCATGACGCCTGCGCGTTCCTGCCCTCCAGGCCGATCCCTCTTTATTTCTACGAAGCTAGAGATCCCCGCGCTCTGGAGTTGTTCAAACTAACCTCTCCTACGTCTGGACGGTGTTGAGTCGCTCCGGGACTGGGGGCGACTTGCTCCGTTTGGTCCGAGCAGTCCGGCTCTCTCGTCCGAGCAGGCTGGCACTGGGAGCATCGATCACTCCCCACTCGTCTGATCCCGATGGAGCGTCTGGAGGAGCGCCGAGTGATCGATG